ATTAACAGCCTTAAAAACTTCCTGTGAAAATCTCTTTAAATTGATTTAACAACTAGGAAACCATTAAAATAATGCTGAACTGTAAATATTGTAAGAAAAGAACCTTACACCAGGATGGGAACAGCTTACAGGGGTGGACTTAGCTGCTGAAGGTGTGTACTACAGTGTCACCTTGTGGATGATGATATACAAACACATAATATTTATTTGGATTAACTTCTATGCATTTTAGCAGCCCTGAAGTAGTGAATTGCAGAGGACAAATTTACCCACAGAACAATAATAGGAAAAATCCTTTCTTTAACCCAACAATTCAAATATAATTTGTTAGGTTTTGGCAAAAAAAAAAAAGAGAAAAAATATTGAGCGTTTATCAACCACAGTTTGGCAAATTATGAGTCACCGATTCCTGGACTGAAACATCTTTAGGACTGTGTGCTATGAGTAAGGCTGATAGCTCAACAGCTTGACTGCTTAGCTGTCAGTAGCTGGCGAAGCATCGACTCCATCAGAGAATCTTTATCTCTTGATACAGTAATCTGCAGGACAGAGCCGACTGGGGATGAGTCTGTGTGGGGTGTCTGCCAGCTGAAGCTGCCTGGCATCAACACCCAAGATGTGTTCAAGCTATGAAAGAATAGGAAACTCTGAGAACATGCAGTGTGATGTTTGTCTACATTATTGTTGGGATGCTGGGTAAATATTTCTCTACATAACAGAGTAATAATTGTTAATCCCACTAGAGGAACACTTGAATTGTCTGTTTTTGGATTTTAATACCCTGACACACTGAGTCCAACTACCAGTTTTATGGATTTTTTCCCACCACACATATTAAAAACTTTCATGATATGAGAACAACTCAAAAAAGCAATAAGATATAAACCTCATTTCTGAACTTTTCTGTTTTACCCTTTCTTAAAAGATCCCAGGACATTTAAAAAAATCCCCTTTCCTGTCAGCCTACTTTACAATAAATGAACCACTTTGGCCGTAAAAACCTCTAAAAAATAAAATAAAAGAAAGCAGCAGCCTAAAGAAAACTGACTGTGTGAAAATATAGCTCACTGATTTCATTATCAGCAGCCACACCTGGGCCTAAAGAAACCGCTAAACTGAACCTGTCTAACAGCATGAAGTAGGCTAAATGAATTTAAAAGCAAATATAAATCTAGAAACTTTGTAATATTCATAAACCCTAAAGATTATTTTCTGAAATGTGGAAAAAAAATTAAAACAGATGAAAACTTAGCGAGTGCAGAACATTGGCCCCACTGCTAAGAAATTACCCAATATTATTTACGCTATTATGCTTGCACTGATGAAAATACCCTCACCTTAGCATGCTAAATGCTTAAAGTAATTGGTGTGGGAGGGTAGTTGGAGATGACATTTGAATTGAGAAAGCTTCCTGGAGGTGAAAAGAAACGTCTTCAAACCTTGGAAACCAAGTCCAGTGGATTGTTGTTAAACTTTTACAGAAAGATTGTTGGAGATATTAACTTACACCAAGGAGGTCATGATTTTAGGAGATTTGTGTCTGTCTGTCTGTGTACAGGATAACTGTATATATTAATTACGGCTACCAATGCTGAGCATCTATACCCGTTGTATAACTGTTCTATATTAATTTAATTGAAATTATCATTTAATCAGAGGTGTCCGTCATGCCAATGAAAAATCAAAACTTTGTTGATGATCCAGATCATAACTGGATACAAGATTTTTTTAAAGCATTCTTTAATATGGGGATAGTGATTTATGCAGGAAACAAACAGATCCTCCCCTAAATCAGAGGGCAGCAGTGACTATTGACCGTTTCAGCATCAAATAAAAAAAGTCATGATCCATACGAGTTTTAGCTATAGGTGTAAGTCACAATATGAGGCAGAATTTGCTGCCTGGCGGAGGTCTGCGCTCTCTGAGCGCATTTCTTGATTCTAATGATTTCAACTCATACACTTAAATAAGCTCATTGTAAAAGGAAGCTCTTTATTACTTTAGCGATAGTTTCAAGGTGTTGCTTTATTGTATATCTCGTGCCGTGTCTTTTGGTTGTGCTGTTCTTTTTTCATCTCGTTACAGGTGATGAAGCAGACTGAAAATGTTTTGTCATTGTCTCCCTTCTATCCCCTCTTTCTTTCATCTTTTGTCCTTTTTTTTTCTTTTTCCTTTTTCTTCTTCTGTTTTTCTGCTCTACCGTATACATTGCAGTGTCCATATGAACTGTAAAACTCCCTGCATAATTATAATAAAGCAATTTATATGCAGGAAACAAGTGGAGTAGTATGGCAATTGCCATACTGCTACACTTGTGAAAGTAAAATCTGTTGGGCTCCTTTTGGCATCAAGACAATTATTCTTATTGCCATCTTGCCAGACAGGACACTGTTAAAAAAAAAAAAAAAAAAAGGAAGCTCTTTAGATAAATCAAGGTATTGGATGGTAAACCAATTTTTAGTTCAGCTCCATAGACTTAAAGAGAAAGGTTGTTTTTTTACCATAGCTGAGCAGCTGGATCCAAGCCTTACATCATGTTTAATGCAAAGCATTAAGATTTGGTTGACATCTATAACTATCTATAAGCAAATTCAAAACTTAATAATGATCAAAATTTTGAAACTTTAAAGAAAATATTTTTCTTTTTTTAAACAATTTTTAGCTTTTTGCAAATCAATTTAATTTTTGTTATATATCGGGATCATTATGAATGGACCTCAGACTTTTTATAATTGGAGCAACTATTCAATTCAATTCAGTTTATTTATATAGCGCCAAATCACAACACAAGTCATCTCAAGGCACTTTACAGTTCACCAGATTATACAGTCAAATTGATTAAAAGTTTTCTATCCAAGGAAAACCAGTTGATTGCATCGACTCATTGACTCAAATACAATCCCTCACACTAAGCATGCTTGTAGCGACAGTGGAGAGGAAAAACTCCCTTTTAACAGGAATAAACCTCCAGCAGAACCAGGCTCAGTGTGAGCGGCCATCTTCTGAGGTCGACGGGGGTTCAAGGAGACAGAAGCAGAGATTCAAAAAGCAGCTGTAAAAGGCGGCCCCGTCCAGGAAACACACAGCCAGGCAGACGAGCTCCGAGCCAGCTCCCATGTCAGTAACTACAAGGTTGAGCCTGAATAATGCACAGATAAATACTAGATGGATGTTGACAACTTGCAAAGAATAATAAGAAAAGTAAAAAGGGACAAATTACTCGGGTTTTAGAGTACATTCAGTGTCTGTTTATTTTTCTGCTCCCAGAAAAATAGAAAAAGTCAAAACAAACATTCATTCTGCTGAAGTGTAGTTTGTCATGCTTTGCACATTTACAGTACATTTTGATTCGATACAAAGTCTCTCTGAATTAGACATACTGCCACAATATACAGGTGCTGGTCATAAAATTAGAATATCATGAAAAAGTAGATTGATTTCAGTAATTCCATTTAAAAAGTGAAACTTGTATATTATATTCATACATTACATACAAACTCATATATTTCAGATGTTTATTTTGTTTAATTTTGATGATTACAAATGACAACAAATGAAAATCTCAAATTCATCATATCAGAAAATTAGAATATTGTGAAAAGTTTCAAAATTGATGGCCCCTGGTGCCACACTCTAATCAGCTAATTAACTCAAACCACCTGCAAAAGCCTTTAAATGGTCTTTCAGTCTAGTTCTATAGGCTACACAATCATGGGGAAGACTGCTGACTTGACAGTTGTCCAAAAGACGACCATCGACACCTTGCACAAGGAGGGCAAGACACAAAAGGTCATCGCTAAAGAGGCTGGCTGTTCACAGAGCTCAGTGTCCAAGCACATTAATAGAGAGGCGAAGGGAAGGAAAAGATGTGGTCGAAAAAAGTGTACAAGCAAGAGAGATAACCGCACCCTGGAGAGGATTGTGAAACAAAACCCCTTCAAAAATGTGGGGGAGATTCACAAAGAGTGGACTGCAGCTGGAGTGAGTGCTTCAAGAACCACCACACACAGACGTATGAAAGACATGGGTTTCTGCTGTCGCATTCCTTGTGTCAAGCCACTCTTGAACCACAGACAGCGTCAGAAGCGTCTAAAGAGAAACAGGACTGGACTGCTGGTGAGTGGTCCAAAGTCATGTTCTCTGATGAAAGTAAATTTTGCATTTCCTTTGGAAATCAAGGTCCCAGAGTCTGGAGGAAAAGAAGAGAGGCACTTCATCCACGTTGCTTGAAGTCCAGTGTAAAGTTTCCACAGTCAGTGATGGTTTGGGGTGCCATGTCATCTGCTGGTGTTGGTCCATTGTGTTTTCTGAGGTCCAGGGTCAACGCAGCCACATACCAGGAAGTTTTAGAGCACTTCATGCTTCCTGCAGCTGACCAACTTTTTGGAGATGCAGATTTCATTTTCCAACAGGACTTGGCACCTGCACACAGTGCCAAAGCTACCAGTACCTGGTTGAAGGACCATGGTATCCCTGTTCTTAATTGGCCAGCAAACTCTCCTGACCTTAACCCCATAGAAAATCTATGGGGTATTGTGAAGAAGAAGATGCAATACACCAGACCCAACAATTCAGAAGAGCTAAAAGCCACTATTAGAGCAACCTGGGCTATCATAACACCTGAGCAGTGCCACAGACTGATCGACTCCATGCCACGCCGCATTGCTGCAGTAATACAGGCCAAAGGAGGCCCAACTAAATACTGAGTGCTGTACATGCTCATACTTTTCATGTTCATACTTTTCAGTTGGCCAACATTTCTATAAATCCTTTGTTTTTATTGGTCTTCAGTAATATTCTAATTTTCTGATATGATGAATTTGAGATTTTCATTTGTTGTCATTTGTAATCATCAAAATTAAACAAAATAAACATCTGAAATATATGAGTTTGTATGTAATGTATGAATATAATATACAAGTTTCACTTTTTAAATGGAATTACTGAAATCAATCTACTTTTTCATGATATTCTAATTTTATGACCAGCACCTGTATGTACAAAAATAACATTCAAACTGAAGTATCTTTAGATATGTTAACACATTCATAAAAATAAAGCTTTCTGTGACGTCATCAGAGAACAATCTCATTTACACAAGAATGAGATGAGTCCTGCTGCGATCCAGCTGACACACACCAGCAGCTCCACCTGTTTGTGTGAAGCTTCCATAACCGCCAGGAATAAACAGTATAAATGACTTTTAACCCCCTAAAAAGTAAATGTTTCAATCTTACGTTTATATTACAAAAAAAAAAAGCACTCGATTCACACAGTGAGAAACTAATGCAAAATGCTGCACAAAAGGCACAAAAAACTGCGCACTGAGTGATTTTATGTTGGCATTGGCAACGGTTCTCCTTGCTGACAGCTGCTGTCCAATCTCTGTGGATGAGGATGTAGTTGTGCTGCTAAAACACTTTGGTACAATGGATGTTAAAGTATCAAAACGTGACTAAAGTATAAAAAGTGTAGGATGACAGCTACATGATTTTAACTACTTAAAGCCCAGATCAATCAGAAAATGTTCTCCATTTCCCATAAGGTTATTGCATTCATCGGCGTGTGTTTGCATATTGGTTTGTAATGCGTGTGCATTGGATCAGTGTTTAAACTGGAAAAAGAAAAAAGAAAGAGAGAGAATCCATTCCTCAGTGCAAAAAAACTTCACTCCACTTCACTCAGCTGCACATGACTCTCTTTCTGAACCGCTCCAGAATTTCCACATCAGCTTCAAACCATCCAACTTAAGCTGTAGATGAATTCACTTCATCCACTAAAGCTGATGCACCACAAACTCATTCAGGCAGGTTCTCCTCCTTACAGGCATCTGCAACGACAGCAGCAGAATGAATCATCAATCAGAAAGTTTAAAGATTTGTCAGTTTCCTCAATAAGATTATGACAACAATCATGCATTTAAATATTAGACGCACCAATCAGGCAAAATATTGTTTAATGCATTCAGCAGCATCACTAAAACACCAATGCAAAATAGAGACACAGCAGAGACCTGGACTGTCCAAAACTGCTGGATAGTGGGTTGGATTTTAAAGTTGGTGGTTCAGGCCAAATGAGAAGGTAAAACTAATTTGAAAGCTGAAATAATTCAATTCAATTCAATTCAGTTTATTTATATAGCGCCAAATTCACAACACATGTCATCTCAAGGCACTTTACAGTTCAACCAGATCAAATTGATACAAAGTTTTCTATCTAAGGAAAACCAGTTGATTGCATTGACTCATTGACTCAAATACAATCCCCCACACTAAGCATGCTTGTAGCGACAGTGGAGAGGAAAAACTCCCTTTTAACAGGAAGAAACCTCCAGCAGAACCAGGCTCAGTGTGAGCGGCCATCTGCCGAGGCCGACTGGGGTTCAAGGAGACAGAAGCAGAGATACAAAAAGCAGCTGTAAAAGGCGGCCCCGTCCAGGAAACACACAGCCAGGCAGACGAGCTCCAAGGCAGCTCCCATGCCAGAGGACGAAGAAAGCACATCCACTCAGTCACGGTCAGAGAAACAGGACCACACTGGAAAACAGGCCGATCTCCAACATCTATAAATAAAATAAAGGTTCTGTACTTTGGTATGCTTTTTGGGCAAACTTCCTCGTTATCTTGTTCTGTAGGGACATAATGTTTCTGCACGGATAAACAGGGTGGGGGTCCTGCAGACCTTTACACTTTATCGTTCATCTGGTTAAACCTCATTACCCAGAAGCCCAGACCTCCCCTGGGCTATTTGCTTTTTGACCAGGCGGCCATTTATGGACTCGGTGTCCTCCGTATGAACGGTACTCCTTTGAAACAACATCTTTCTAGGATGCTGCAGTCAGGATGTTGGACAACAGGATAGCAGGCACCAAAAGGTAAAAAAAAAAAAAAAAAAAAAAAAAATCCTTGCGATTTTCTACAAAGAAACTACAAACTGACTTGTTCTTAATGTGTTTCCTTCAAATTCGTGGCCAGAGGAATTTGAGCTCCAACAGAGATAACCAGTAATTACACTGCAAAACAATGGAAATCTAAATAAGTCATTTTTTCTTAAAATATGTGTTTGTTCTTGAATTGAGGAGGAAAGTGAGAGACTTTGCAAATGGAATTAGACAGTTTACATTTAAAATAAGAAGAATACAATTGCATTGTCTTATTTCAAGCGCATTTTATCTTATTTTAAGAGTAAAACTACTCTTTCCATTGGCAAATCATCTTATTTACCTACTCAAATTGAGGGTAAATAAATTTGAGAAAGAAGTTTTAACTTATTTCTAGATCATTTTGCAGTGATACCACTAATTCCTTCACAATGATTAGACTATGAGACTAAATCAAATTACACCCATGTTCATTCAGCAAATTCCCACAAGGTTTCACCTTCTAATTGTAATAAACTATTCCAGCAATAGTTTAAAACCATATAATGTCACGTTTAATAAGAGTAGAAATAAATATAAATACATTTTAAATGGCAAACATAATGCAAATGAAAATGCAACCTTCCTCAGATCCTTTGCAAAAAAAAAAGAAATAAAAAATATTCAGTGTAATACATTTTAAAACCCTGAGACTATTTCCAGCAGACATGATTTTTGGAAGATTCACTGCAAAGAGGAATTTATCTAGTTTTGAGGGACGGGAGGAGCCCTAAAAACTACTCTGATTCCTGAAGAAGCAGCCGGAAGGAAAATGCAAGGCAATTAAGTTTTATGCTATTGCTTCCCAATTCTTGAGCACCAAAGGCCAAAAAAATCCAAAAATAGAAGCAGCAGTTTGTAAAAAGGATAAAATTATCTAAATTAATCCAAAACAACTCAACTAGAATTACATGAAAACAATTAAAAAGGCAGAAAAAGACTGTAGTTTATCTAAGTTTTTTTTTTTTTAAATGGAGCCCCAGACGCTGCTGTAGGGTTTGGTTAACAGAGCTGATGGATCCTGTGTTCAATTAATGAGTGCTTGTGTGCACACGTCTTCTTCGATGTGCATCGCTCCAACTCTGATCTGATGGGCTTTAAGGCCCCGTAGAGCTGGTTAAAATTCAGCTAGCTTGTTATTTTCTTCTCGAGCACGTCAATGCCAAACATACTGCGCATCAAAGGGCAGCCTGCGATAAACAAAAAGCAGCCATGGACGCTACAAGCTTAAACCTCCGGGAGCAGAATTCTAAAAATGGGAATGGTTATTTACCAGAGAGAAACTATAAAATCCATCAGTTTAGATGTTTTTTTTTTTAGAATTTATTTCAGTAAAATGCAAAGAGTTAAGTTGCGTGTAAAAACAATTAGCACTTCTGTGCAAAACACGATCCAGCAGGACAAGCAGAAAGTGGGCAGGTACCATGCCTCCGACAGGCCATGAGTCAAACAGGTGCTATTCCTACCTGGGGCAGGGTTAGAGCATTGGTGGCTAGGGGAAAGCTCGGGGTCCGGAACAATGGGAGGGAAGGGGGGGGCAATTACGGCTACCAATGCTGAGCATCTATACCTGCTGGGCTGAGCACCAGAGCCTGGAGGATGTCTGAAAGGGAAATAATGCCCTCAATACTGGAGCGCTCATCCACCACCACCAGCCGATGGACCTGAAACAAAGGAGATGAAGCCTTAATCAGTTTCAGTTTCTGACTCACTAAATGCAGAAACGGGGCTTCGTGTCTCACTTCTGCTTTGACTATTCTGTCCACAATGGTCTCCATCGTTTCCATTTTGTGGCACTTAACGACTCCTTCAAAGTACTGCGAGCGATGTTTCAGGGCCTGCGTCACGCTGATGTCCAAGTTATTGTACGTCTTCTCTGCAGCCAAGTTCTGCAGCAGAGGGAGGAAGAGTCAGAACAAGGGCAACCAGCAGGGGAGAAGCATACCTACAAGAGTATACTTACAATTACATCAAACTTGGAATAAATATCAACAACTTTGCCTGCAAGAATAAAAAAATAAAGAATTGTTAGGCCAAAATCCAATATGATTAATAATAAAAAAGGTTTTGATCAGTTGTGATTTGACCTGAGTCATCCACCACAGGCAGAGCAGATATTCGTCTCTCCACAAAGATGTTGAGTGCTTTAATGATGGGCGTGTCGGGGTTGATAAAAGCAATCTCATGGTACGTTCCGATACCCAGCTCACCTAGGGTCTGCTTCATGAAAGCTGGCTTTGGCATTTCGCACATCTGGGCATTAAAAAAAAAGAAAGAAGAAACACCTAAAAGAAGGAAAGTAGACCCACTGAACACACCACATATTTCTGATCTAATCAGCACCAAAAATGGGATTTCTTCAAAAACAAAAGAATCAGAGGTGGACAATCCAGCTTCAGACACTAAAAGTGCACAGAGAAGATTTTCAGCCATATGTTTTTCCAGCTCCATAACGAAGACAGTTCCAATATGAGCTCACCTGGAGCTCTCCATAGCTTGACTGCATGCTGGAGCAGTAGTTTATTCATTTACCGTAATTTTCGGACTATAAGACGCACCTGAATATAAGCCGCAGACGCTAAATTGCATGATTTGTACATATACAAGCCGCACCAGACTATAAGCTGCAGGTTTTTTATGTTTAATTACCATATGGTTCGTGCACAGAGAGTATTGTCGGGACAGAGGCAACTGCTTGGGGAAGCTCCTATTTATTAACATTTCAACACAATTGAATTGAGAGAATTCTTCCTGCTTGCGTCTCCAATGTCTCACCATTGACCATTGAGGTTACGTGCAGCGGTTCTATTTCCTTCGTTTACTGCCTAATTTACTGCCTTTAACTTAAAAGCTGCATCAGCATTTCAACGTTTGTTTTCCATAATGAGTGTGTCACACAAACTGTCTTGCGCTCGCAATGTCCGTCTTTCTCGGAGTCTGCTTCCGGAGGACGTCCGCATTCCCGCACGCTCAGCTACTTGTGTGTGAAGCAAATGAGACTTCAACATGGTGGATGGTAAAATCCATAGATTTAGGTACCGTATTACCCTGGTGGCCATTAACTGTACAGGTGCTGGTCATAAAATTAGAATATCATGAAAAAGTAGATTGATTTCAGTAATTCCATTTAAAAAGTGAAACTTGTATATTATATTTATACATTACATACAAACTCATATATTTCAGATGTTTATTTTGTTTAATTTTGATGATTACAAATGACAACAAATGAAAATCTCAAATTCATCATATCAGAAAATTAGAATATTGTGAAAAGGTTCAAAATTGATGGCCCCAGGTGCCACACTCTAATCAGCTAATTAACTCAAACCACCTGCAAAAGCCTTTAAATGGTCTTTCAGTCTAGTTCTATAGGCTACACAATCATGGGGAAGACCGCTGACTTGACAGTTGTCCAAAAGACGACTATCGACACCTTGCACAAGGAGGGCAAGACACAAAAGGTCATCGCTAAAGAGGCTGGCTGTTCACAGAGCTCAGTGTCCAAGCACATTAATAGAGAGGCGAAGGGAAGGAAAAGATGTGGTCGAAAAAAGTGTACAAGCAAGAGAGATAACCGCACCCTGGAGAGGATTGTGAAACAAAACCCCTTCAAAAATGTGGGGGAGATTCACAAAGAGTGGACTGCAGCTGGAGTGAGTGCTTCAAGAACCACCACACACAGACGTATGAAAGACATGGGTTTCTGCTGTCGCATTCCTTGTGTCAAGCCACTCTTGAACCACAGACAGCGTCAGAAGCGTCTTGCCTGGGCTAAAGAGAAACAGGACTGGACTGCTGGTGAGTGGTCCAAAGTCATGTTCTCTGATGAAAGTAAATTTTGCATTTCCTTTGGAAATCAAGGTCCCAGAGTCTGGAGGAAAAGAAGAGAGGCACTTCATCCACGTTGCTTGAAGTCCAGTGTAAAGTTTCCACAGTCAGTGATGGTTTGGGGTGCCATGTCATCTGCTGGTGTTGGTCCATTGTGTTTTCTGAGGTCCAGGGTCAACGCAGCCACATACCAGGAAGTTTTAGAGCACTTCATGCTTCCTGCAGCTGACCAACTTTTTGGAGATGCAGATTTCATTTTCCAACAGGACTTGGCACCTGCACACAGTGCCAAAGCTACCAGTACCTGGTTGAAGGACCATGGTATCCCTGTTCTTAATTGGCCAGCAAACTCTCCTGACCTTAACCCCATAGAAAATCTATGGGGTATTGTGAAGAAGAAGATGCAATACACCAGACCCAACAATTCAGAAGAGCTAAAAGCCACTATTAGAGCAACCTGGGCTATCATAACACCTGAGCAGTGCCACAGACTGATCGACTCCATGCCACGCCGCATTGCTGCAGTAATACAGGCCAAAGGAGGCCCAACTAAATACTGAGTGCTGTACATGCTCATACTTTTCATGTTCATACTTTTCAGTTGGCCAACATTTCTATAAATCCTTTGTTTTTATTGGTCTTCAGTAATATTCTAATTTTCTGATATGATGAATTTGAGATTTTCATTTGTTGTCATTTGTAATCATCAAAATTAAACAAAATAAACATCTGAAATATATGAGTTTATATGTAATGCATGAATATAATATACAAGTTTCACTTTTTAAATGGAATTACTGAACTCAATCTACTTTTTCATGATATTCTAATTTTATGACCAGCACCTGTAAAAGCCCATAGATAAGCTGCATTGTTGTATAAGCCGCAAGGTCGAAAAATGGATGAAAAAAATGGGGGAAAAGTCGCGGCTTATAGTCCGAAAATTACGGTACTTATTAGGGCAAGAGATACATCTAAATGTCGTTGGACACAAGCACTCGAAGATTTGAGTTTGAGACCCTTGGTTTAAAATTCATATTTTCCTTACCTCAGCAAATAATAAAAAAAAATAAAAAAGTGACTGTTAAAGAATGTAAATAGGAAGTTAAGTGGAAGAAAGAAATGCACTCAGAAATGCAGCAGAAGCAACAGGGATAACCATTGCTATTAGATGAGAGCCCAAGATGCTGGAGGGAGAGACTGGATTTTCCAAACTTAGTGATGATTTAAGGAGCCAAATCATGTGCTGGTGTTAGTCCACTATGTTAGCTCAAGGATCTAAAACACATTTGGCACCAGTATTTAATGATTTAAAAGTGACAATGGATTTACATTTACAAAAAAAAAGTTAGAACTGTAGGTTTACAGCCATTTTACTATTTTTCAAGCCTGCACTTTTAAAAAAGATGAAATAGTCCAGAGAGCTGTTCCAAACTAAATTTCTTTTTGTTTTACACTTGTGTCAACAAAATGACAAATAATAATCTGTCTAAGTCTAACATAGTGTAAAATGCAATCTGTAGAAATACTAAAAATATAGCACTATAGCCCAGGATGATTTCCATCCTCTGTCTCCTGCCGGGACCAGCCCAGACACTCCGCTCCTGCAATATTTGTATTCTGTTGTTAAAACAAGGATTAAAATACATCTCGCCTCCGAAACCCCCCCAGAACATCCAGATCTATTATAGATGCTGGAATAGAGTTCCGGGTTTAAAAGCACGGTAGGAAAATACTGCCTATCCAGAGGAACCTATTTAGATTTAATTAAATATTCTCCTCTGGAACTCGCTCTTCTTGATTTGTCTTGATTCTAAATAACTAATTGTTGCAAGGGAAAGGGTGCTAATGATGAGCTTTATGGAGAAGCGGATCTATTCTTCTTATAGTACTCGTTAGCTGTCCGCACTGTCAACAATACCAATGCCTGGGTTAATGATCACATTAAACTCCTAAAAAATGTTTAAAAAAAGTTAAATGTTCCATTTCCGTTTAATGCCAAAATTGATTTCACTTATTGCACTGAATTACTTAAATTAACTCTTTAATGATACTAAAATCTTTCAAGCTGCACCTGCAGAGTATTGATCAATTTTCACATTGACCACAAGGGGGAGCCAAGCATATGAGACTGAGACACAGCAGGGAAAGTTTACAGTCTGACTAATTCAGCTCTTAGAGAATAACTGTAACCTTGTGAATGACACATGAACAGAGAGCCTTTTTTTGGACTTACAAACAGCTGGAGAAACTTTAGGATCCTCTTATGTGTGAGAATATAAAGTGCATTCCCTGTAACAGGGTCGATGACAGGCAGGCGGTGAATTTTATTTTTGATGAGGGTGTATACTGCATCAAACAGGCTGGAAAAAAAGGGAAAACAAAAGATACGAGTCACAACTGCAGCAGTTCAAGATGAACAAATAAAAACAATGAAAGAAAATGTTTAACAGGAGGACGTTTGAAGAGAACCTTGCTTCTGGTGATATGTTAACAAGAGGTTTAAACGTTGCTTGAAGATAAACCTCTGAGAGTAAGAAGAGAGAACAATGGGTTATTAAACTCTTAGATTGTAAGAACGTTAGAGCAACAGTTAATGGTACTTGCCTCTCCACGTCTCAAGCTTGTGTTCCTCTAACTCATAAATTTGCACCTAAAAACAACAAACCAATCTCAATTTAAAAAATGAAGGACCCAAAGGAGAATATTTAAAGGCAATCTGTCGATTAAACCCACCAGTGGTGATTTATAGTATCTGTGTAGTATGATGATGAAATCTGTGATTGTCAGCATTCCTGCAGTGAAAACAGATCAAGTCAATAAACACCTCGGAGCCAACCCTGCAGGCACAGTGCAGCTGGAACGAGGGCGTGGTTCATTCAGCACAGCGCTGCTTCCCCCTTTGCTTGTTGACTTGACATTCATTATTCATCAGAGGCCGTCCAGCAGCAAAGCTCAAACAAACTCAATCATCAACCAGCTCCCCTGACTCCACAGAACAAAAGATGTTACTTTATCGTTTCTACACTCACTATAAATGAGTCATCGCTGTGCTTTAATAGCTCAATGCTGCTTCGACTCAATAGGGCGTCATGGTCTGCAAGCTCTGACCATCAACACACAGCACAGCCTCGTTGTTAATTTATAGCAAACCAGAACAGCAATGACATTTTCCAGCTTGGTGAAAGGAAATAATTAAAAGATCCAAATGAGGCTTAAATAATATATAGACCTAAAGGACAAGAGACAGTTTTCATTAATGTTTTAATGCTGCTTTCTGTCCTCCAGTGAATTAAAATAAATGTTTGCAAGGAGCAAAAGGCATCCATATTCCATGATGAAGTTTTAACAAAAACACATTTTCTCCACCTCAGCCAGAAAATCTCCTCCATGCAATCATTTAAAAGTTACTTATCGCAAGTCTAAGGACACGTATTATATTCCTACTAGGGCTGCAACTAATGATCATTTATTTTCTTATCGATTAATCTGTTTATTATTTTTTCATTTAATCTGTTAATAATCAGAGCGCAACAGGTTCTTAAAAGAAGATTTTTTACAGATTCAAACCAAACGAAACTAAAACATTTCTACTTGAGGAGTTATGGATAGAACATATTGACAGATGAAAAAGTTTTCTTATCTTAACGTCTTAATATTCTCTCCTTTTTTGCATATCCAAATGGAAAAGCCAATAACTTAGGAACTGTAAGCCCAAATTACATGTGATAAACGATTTGAAATCTAACACCTTCTAGTTTCTGAATACATATACATATACACATACATATATATATATATATATATATATACACACACAATAGTTATATACATGAAAATTGGGTGAGTAAAACGCCCAAGCTGCATCAGTGGAAAGAAGACTCAAAGTTGTTTTTTTTATTCTTAAAAATAGTAGGTCTTTTTTTTAACAGAAGTTATAAAGACATGCTTCCTTGTTGTGGCTGCTTTGTCATGGTACATTTTGGCAACGTTCACATTGCAGGCCTTCATGCTTTTTTGTGAAATCAGATTTTTTTTGCATTGCCGTTCACATTTCCAAATATATGCGAGTTGTATGTGATCTCCTGTGTGAACTGCAGTCATACAACGCAAGTGTCCCACATGCGCAGTAGAGAAGGCAGTTACATCACAGGCCAGCGTGCTCTACGTTTACGGAAGTAAACATGGATGGTAGTGTCGGAGCGCATCTAGCGATCTTTCCCAACCAAAAAACACAATCTTTTCAGGATGGTTAAACATAAATACTGCTCTCTGCATCATCGTCTGCCATGGTTGTTGTTTTTCTTGCCACTTCTTCATAGCAAGACCCAGAATAGTGACCTTTGTCGGGTATTAATGGCGGCCAGGTCGGATGAATGCGACCTGGCTGTTCAGACGCAGATTGCATTTGAAAAGATCAGATTCGTATTGGATTTAGAACCACATAGCCAAGTGGCCTGGAACGCATTGGAAAAAAAATTGGATCCGTGTTGTTCAGACAGCTATGAAAAGATCAGATCCAGGTCGCATATGGGCAAAAAAATCGGATTTGGATCACTTCAGGCTGCAGTGTTAACGTAGCCTTTGACATGCTGCTATAGCTGAGTTAATCTTGCTTTGGTGATCACTGTGTCTATAAAATTAACTAGGTAGTTGAATTGTGGAGAACCTAAGCTTTCCAGCGATGTCTAACATGTCTATATTGGTAAATGAAATATTGTGTTTTGAGAGGTTAAATGCAAAATATTTACATATTTTTTTTACAATGTTGGTATAATTACTGGTCTAAGTTGGTTGCTCTGTCACCTAAAGGTACGATTTACAGTCTCTATACTCCAGTTAATAATTAATCGATTACTAAACTAGTAAATTTTTTCAAAGATCGATTAATTACAATTAATCAGATTAATTGTCCTTACCCACAAAGCTTTGCTTCTCCGTGTCCCATAGAGGAGCAGCTCGCACACCATTGGCCACTAAGGCGAAGAACGCCTTTTTAACCTGCAGAGAAATTATGAAGATTACATAATCTAAATAAATATAAATGATGCACACGCTGATCATTTGGTCTCTTTTGTACTGTTGCTGTTTTGGTAATGAAAAACATGCACTGGTTTCTCCACCTTTAGCAGCCAACAGAAACTGCGTTTAGGGCCAGACTTAAACTGAGCCATTTTAAAACCTTAAATCAAGCCATGCAGACGTGGACCTGTTGTTGTGCTTCAGATCACAGCTCTGCTACATAACCCAGGCTTGATCTTAGGGTCCCAAAGCTATAGCCTGACTGCAGGAGACCAGACTTCAATGTTCCCTCAAATACAAAGAGAGGATATAACATTGATATAAAAAGGTAACAACTGGCAAAAATGCTAATTTAATTGAAACTCGTCTACGCTGAATTAGATCTGTTATTAAACAGCACATGATCAACTGTTCAATCGTCTAAAGTACATTTCTGTAACCATATGCTGTAGCCAGCGGTACATGTCGAGGAAAATTCAGCGAAAAAAGGTAAAACATATATAAAAAAAAGATAAAAAATTAAGGACAAAAACACATTTTTTATGAATTTCAATTGGTCTTCCACCCCCTTTAGATAAACAATGTCAACTCAACTCTTGGTAGTTAAAGATTGGCAAATCAAAGGAGGTCCCACTCTCCTTGGATTACTGTTTAACTGCTTCGTTAAGAGAAATTGCTCCGAGTTAAACTCCTTGCATCTGTTTGTTGCACATTAACTAAAGCTAGGAGTCTGTTTGGCCCTCAAGACAAAACTTCAAAACAGTGGAAACAAAAACAGTATTTACAGCACTTATAGCACGCATTGGGAGCTGGGAGTACAAAAAAAAAAAAAAGAAGTACTAACTTGGAGTGCCGTGTCAAACACGACCAGCTTGGAGCTTGTGGGAACGATGTCGTAGCACTTGTGGGATTTCATGAAGCGCATGTAAATATCACTCTCAGGCTCAGCAGCTGAAAGAAAAATATTTTGTAAGAAGGGCATAAAAAAGAAAAAAAAACACACACTGACACACAAAAAAACAAATCCCATGAGGAATTCGTAATGACGGCTTGGAAACTACACAAGCACATACACGATCATTACAAGTAAACAGACCACTAACAGCCACTTCCCTGCTCCAGCTTACAGATAATCACCCTCCTCTCTAAATGCCGACAACAAACAAAGAGTGGAAAATCCTGGGAAGAAAAAGCACGGTTAGGGGGGGTGGGCTCAATTCTCCAATAGAGAGAAACAGGGGGCTATATCTAAGCTGTTGTTTCTCATCATTTGGCGACATCACGTAAAACTACGTTGTGTCCGAAAGGCAAAAGATTAATTAAATCATATTTGTCTATTTTAACATATTGGAATTTGTGGAATCAAGATCAAAACATCACGCTTCACTGCAAACTATGGTATAAAATCAATCTAAAATGTGTCAACACACACCTGCAAGTTACATTATGACATCACATCGGGTAGATATTAGTTGATCAGCCTTGTTCTAAATGTGCTAATCTGGGGTTTCCTTGTTTCATCATCCTTATTCAAGTTTTTAATCAAAATGAACTGTTCTAAAGCTCTGAAATACAACGAGCCATACGTTTAAATGGTTCTTATGATCCTTTGGCATAGCGAAAAGCTTAAGATACGTTTGTAAAGGAAAAGAAAAGTAGGAAGAAATGGCCAGGTATGATAAAAAACAACCAGCGCTCATGTCTAGTGGTTATTATCACCATGCAATCTGCTCCAAGCCTTATATTGGGATTAGCTTCCAGTCCCAGCAATGCTTCCTGCAGAACTGCTACATCCCATATTCTATCGAAATAAGCAACACCCAGAGAGACTATAGCCTAAAACTTCCCTCTAGATGCACCATGCCTTTACCTCCACTACAACCTATAGCATCACAATTGTCTTAGACAGGAGGTCTTCAACAGGGGGTCGGTTCTGCATGGGGGTCGCGAAAGTTTTGGTTGATTAGACTATCTTTTATATCGCCCCCCTGCAATTTCTTCCACCAATTGAAATGTCTTTAAATCCACATTAACATGAATTCAACACACTGTAGTAAACAGATAAATGGAGGCAGAAGATGTCTTTCAGTCATCAATGCACACATTCAGCGACACACAGGAGCTCTTTCAAGCTGGGCACCATTTCAATCACAACACCTGTCCCATCAACCAGGAATCAGAATCAGAAATACTTTAATAATCCCAAGGAGAAATTACTTTGTTAAATTACTCGATATGTTATAGAGTAACTATTGGATCAATTTTATATAACCCAATTTCATACTATATATATAAAATTAGGGGGTCCCCGCTCCATTTCGCCATCAGTTTGAGGGTCCTTAGCCTGGAAAAGGTAAAGATCCCTGGCATAGACAACATCAATAAGCAGAAACAATAACCTGATTACTAGAGAGCTTGAAAGAGAGGTGCAGTTTGAGGAGCTGATCTTGTAACAATGTATGGATTTTCATCTAATAAGTGGACAATGAGCGCATAAATCATAAGCCAGTATTGTATAGGGACCTGCTGATGTCACACTGGTGACCATCATGGCTCGGCATCCCTGCAGACAACCTTATACATCATAAATCAAAGGTTTCAGACATAATCTGCTCATCTGTTGACAAATACCAGCGGATTTTCTCTTGTAATCTCATAGAGACACATTTCCACGTGAGTTTCCAAAAAAGAAAAATTTAACTGCCTTGTTGGGGGGGGGGGACAAAAGCAATTTTAAGCAGCTCTAATCAGATGATTTACTAAATCATTTAGTTTCCTCTGTAGACATTAGCGTCAAACTGGACAGGATGCCTTCAAGCACAGATGTACTGCTTCTTTAAAGTGGTTGTGCAGAAGCTCACCAGCAACTCACCATCATCATCTAGTTCAAGTTTCTCCAGCATACCTTCGAATAAGCCGTAGACCTGTGGAGGAGAAAAAAACAGAAAAACAAGCAGAAGTTTGAGGTGAGGAACGCTGCAGAGGGTGAGAGAAGCTGAAGCCAAAAAACTTTGCAATACATTGTGAGCGAGCGGCAGGCTGACGCCGACTCTCCCTCCCTGCAGGTCAAAGCAGATCAAACCGACCGACGAGAGGTAATATGTAGAATAAAAAAAAATAAAACAAAAGAAGACAGAACAGATTATATCCTCGATCGCTTAACAGATACGCAGAGTTTCCTAAATATAAACAGGCAAAACGACACACATTTATCGGCGCGTAGTAATTAAAGGAAACACACACCCCTCCTAAACACTAGCAGTGGTACAGTCCAGATCTATTTGGTGCAGCAGGGAGAGGGAGGGGGGCGCTCAGAGAGACATGGGTAAATTAAATTCCTACTCAACAAATCAGCTTTTGGACGTCGTTCACGGCGAGAACAACCACAGCAACCTCACCAAATGGAAGAAGCTGAAAGACGACGCGTGGATAAAAAGCAGGAAGCTCCTTATTCAGAGGACACACCCCCTTCACGCAGGGCAACCTGGCTGCCTCACCATATTAGGAAATCCTTTCCGTTGCCTAGCAGCAAGAAGCTGGGGATGCCTCGCCGAGTTTAACGCGTTCATCGCTTAAAACACCTCACTGCTTGTTCATCGTGAGATCAAATTACCTAAAGTAGGTTAATTAGACCTCCTGTAAATCATTCCAGCTCGAAATGCGCTGCGTCATTCTGGGAGATGATTATTAATACAGGGGTTCAGCTTCTGTGTGGTGCTCAGCGGTTTAATAACAGCGCAGCAGCAGGATAAAAGCCTCTATCTTCCCCTGCTTTGGGATGCTCCACGTTCTCCCCCCTGCATTGCCCTATTTTGATGACTCAGCAGTTCTCCAGCCAAAATCTACCCCTGCACTTTCATAAATCAGGTGGTGCAGCACTGACATGTGGCCTGCTGGGAGACACACACCCATTCAGTCAATCACTCTTAAAACTGATCATGGCAAAAGGTGCATTTTAACATCGCATCTTTATTATTTTTGAGGTGATGAAGAGGCAGAGAAGTATGGAAGGGGATTAGGGCCACCGAAAAAATTAAAAAAGTTAACTGATTTTTTTATTTAAATTCTGTATAATATAAGAAGAAAATTAGCATTCTGATTTTAATCTCAGAATTCTGACTTTTTTCTCAGAATTCTGACTTTAATCTCTGAATTCTGACTGAATTTCTGACAGCTAACAAACATGTTACTGACTAAAACACTGTTTTAGTCTGTTTTTTTTGTATTTTTTTTATATCATTTCTGCTCTTCCATGAATTAAATAGTATCGCCGGGGACCCCTCCGGCACGTAAAAAGTCACCTAATTCCGTCATTTTCCACCAATGTGTAACTGGCCCTCTAAAACAACACACATCTTTATCAGTGAAGTCGAGTGCTCCCACATCTCTTCCTTCATGGTGCCCATCTACATTAAAGAGAGATTAAAGTCAGAATTCTGAGATTAAAGTCAGAATTCTGAGAAAAAAGTCAGAATTCTGAGATTAAAGTCAGAATTCTAAATTCTTTCGCATATTAAACTGAAATAATATGTAAAAGTCATTTAACTTTTTTCTTTTTTCCAGTGGCCCTAATCCTCTTCCGTAGAGAAGAGCAACAAATAATCAGGCATTAGTGTCAACACTGGAGATTCAACATTGATTCACCGTTACTGACTGGAATCAGCTGTCACTGCATTCAGATGAATTTAGGCAGTTCTTCTGATAATTATTTACACTAGGTTTTTTTTCTTTAGGCAAATAAGATAAGAAATAGAATACTGACCATCAAGGTGCAAGTTTATCTAATATCTAATTTAGCCTTAGATGAGCCTAAAGCGCAGGGTCACACTACAATATGAAACTCATATGTGTTTATTGCAGCTTTGTGAGAAAATAAAGTACAAAATAGAATATATAAGAAGCAAATTGAAATGAAGAAAGTCTCTGAGGCCTTTTTACACTGCAAAACTTTAAATCCTGAGTCAGTTTTTCTTGTGGGTAAGAGAATATTGATTAAAATTATTTACGTTGAAATTAAGGCGGGAAAAAACTTAATTATCTTATCACAAGAGCATAGTATTTAATGTACCATTTTGGGGGCAAAAATATGTATTCCATTGGTGGATTATCTCATTTAAATTTAAGGGCAAATAATCCTTTTTTAGAAGTTTGTATTTATTGTTAAGTCAGTTTTTTTTTGCAGTGTATTTGCCACCCCCTGAATAAAAGCTTAAAAACCCTAAAAAATAATAATAAAAATAAACTTTCAGGGTAAAGTAGATTTAATGCAGAGTGTTTACAATCATCTGTTGTCAGCTCCTGTTAAAGATTCACATTTGGATTTCAATCAGGACTTTAAATTATCTTAACACATGATAAACTGTTCCCCTAGCTGCATGTCAGTCAGTCAAACTGTTTTATTCCTGTAAACGTCCGCCTTTCAACAAACTATAACTTCCTTCCTTGTCCCTGTAGATAAAAGTCAACATGTTTTTATACTAAAATATTTAATTTAGGTGTGATCAGAACAGATAATCTCTTACCACCAGTACTTTATAGCTAATGGAAATTGTAAACACGACCTCTCATGACAATTTATCACACAATGCCGATAGTGATTAAGAAGTCCTGTTTGTCTATAGATGTCTCCCATTTGAACTGCAGCTCCTCAAGAGCTACCATGGAGGTAAAGACTGCTTATCTTAAAGCGGCATAGTCTGGATCTATGACCTAGAGAGTTTCAAACCAGTAGTTTACTCTGGTTGCTAATAACAGTCTAATGATTTAATAATCACTCCCTATTGGCTTCCATAATCTGATTTATGTTTTATTCTACTGGATGTAATGCTATACTATATGTTAAATAATATTTACAGCAATGCTTGACTAATTGGCTTTAATTTTTTTAAGCTTCTGGTTTGTGTAGATCTTGAGCTCTATCTAAATTCAAAACACACACATTCTTGTTAAAAGGTATCCTGCCATAACATTTACTCAGTTCTGCTACATGTTGCCTTGAGGAAAACAGTGCAAACACAGGCTGGAACACGAAGGTCTCGCAAGTAATAGAGCTGCAGATTTGCATCAGCTGATTTCATCAGCAGTGTCCTTATAAGCTTTTATGACTCAGAGAAAGAGGCTCATGAGTCATAGACAGGAAGCATTTAAGGCTGATGTTGTGTATCCAAAAGAAAAACAGTTATCAGAGTAAACATCCCATGATGCATGAAGGATAATTACTGCATCTAACAAAACGCTGCTTTCTCTAGTTGCATAAGAGCTTCTGTCTGATTTAGTATTGAACTTTGGGTATCATACCGAATTACTGAAACATTGTACTTTATAAAAAAGAAAAGCATAAAAAGAGAATTAAAGGCCACATGCTATAATTACTTTCTTGTGTTTTTCTATTTTTCAAATTTGCAGGGGAATGTATACCCATATGTTTATTATTTCTAAATAAAAAAAATACTTTGGCTTTAATAGAAAAAAAAAAAACCCTGTAGTGTGACTCACATGGTGTGAGGTAGAGAAGGGTGGCACAGGACTGGTTGATGGGATCGGAGGTTTAGCGTAGGAAAGGCTGATGCGCTGTCCTGTGTCCGGAGGAGTGGACAGGGAGCGGCTTCGGGAACTGGACTCCAGGCGTTCTGGACTGGGGGCGCTCTGCCGCTGAGCCTCTGGGCTGAACACAGGTTGGCAGGATGCCTGGGTCGGAGTGGAGGGGGGCGTGGAGCGTCCAGAAGCTGCAGGGACAGATAAAGATCACAACTGATGAGTCATCTTATCTTTTGCTTAAGATTTGGACCAGTTTTTTTTTCCTTTCCTTTCAGCAAAGCTGACTGACCACATAGACATTCGGTGCAGAAGTGTTGTTTTATATTATACCTTAGATTAAGGGTAAAGTGGAGGATTTTCACGAATTTTTGAAAAGACCAAACTTCTCCACTTGGAAGAGCGTGCACAAGCCCATTTCTTCTCGTGCACACTGTTAAAAAGTTGCTATTTGCATCACTCATACAAACTTATTTCCAAAAGGAGATTAGCATTTTTTCCACAATGTCAGACTCACCACCTGTAAGTGAAAATGGGGACGAGCAGTAAGGACGGCCTTACATAAACATATCACCAGAATGATTGACAATAAGGAGGACCACTTATTTTGTTGATCCACCCGGAAAATGAACATCCTCCAGTAAACCTTTAAAGAAGCGCCTAAAAAATAATTTCAGCATAAACAGGAAGAATAGAAATACTCTACATAGATTCTGCACTTAGACACAGCGATTCTAATAGCCAACATAAAGCAATGTTGAACTGCATCAAACGTCTCTTTTACAAAGCTGAGAGAGGGAAATTAGGATGAATGTACACCTGAAAGATCAAAGACGTGGAAACTGGGTTTTAAAGAGAACAGAATGAAGCTGACTGGTTGCACGATTGTTTTTTTTTCACCTTATATTTTTTATTTCACTCTTATTTATACAAATAATCATCCTCCAAACATTCATTTCAAAAATGCTCTAAAAATCTCCAAAACACAAATTCTATGCAATAGTATGGATTCTGCAGATCGACTTGTTGGAGATTACCCTTATTCATCTGGCTGAACCTCTGGATCCCTGTATTCATGTCAACTAGATGTTAAATAAAAGAAAGGAGATACCTTGTCTATCTGCATATGATGTCGTTCCAAAGTTGTAAAAATATGAGAAACTATGCAGAATATTAATGATAAATTGCCTTTTTCCTACCAAACCCAGGTTGGCTGGATGCATTAAGTCTATATGAGGCTAGTCCCCCGAGGAACAGTCTGTTTTAATTTGGCCTTTCCTTCTTTGGTAGGAACAGGTACATATAAATAAACCCAGTTATGATCATCAAGTAAATATATCTTAATTGGGGGAGTGGCGGTCTAGTGGTTAAGGCAAAGAGCTTTGAATCCTGAGTTTCTGAGTTCGAGCCTAACTCCCACAGACTGCCACTCTGGGTCCCTGAGCAAAGACCCTTAACCCCACACTGCTCCCCGGGCGCCACACGATGGCAGCCCACTGCTCCCCAAAGGATGGGTTAAATGCAGAGAGTTCATTTCATTGCTCTGTACTTGTGACAGTGGAATTACAATAAGAAAGCTGGAAAAAAAATATTACAGTAACATGGCTTCATAGAAGAATTTTTCATTTTATAGTACATTTTATGTGCGGATCCAGAAATTTGAATTGAGAAAGCTTTCTGGAGAGGTGGCGACACGTCTTCAAATCTTGGAAACCAAGTCCAGAGGATTTTTTTTTTTACTTTACTTTACGGAATTTATGTGTTCTTCTTGCATTAATTCTTAATCAATATGCCTTGGCATAGAGTCGATCACCCAGTGGACCAACTAAGGAGTTAATACACTAGAAAATAACTCTATATGAATGATCATATTCTTTAGCAATGACCTCTGTGGCTTATCATGCTTGGGGGTGGGGGGTGTTGGGTTAGGGTTTTCCATGTGACTGTATAGGTCATGGTGAGAATATCACATCATCATCTAACGATTTTGTTTTTTAAAGTCTTAGATTGTTACAGTTTTATTACACAAAATAATGAAACTGTAATTAAAAATATAATTAGTTTCCACTTTGAACTGAATTACTGACTTTAACAACCCTTATGTGGAACTTTAACTTACTGAGGTACAACTGAGCACAGGTAAGAGTAAAAAAAAACTACATATTGTTATTGGAGGAAAGGAATAAGGAAGATTTGAAAGGAGATTTGTTCTTAGTGGAGTATCTTGAAAGCCATTTAGGACAGAACCTTTGTGATATGGTAATTGTATTATTACCTCCGCCATGGAGGTTATGTTTTTATCTGCTCTGGTTTGTGTCCTCATCTCTCTCTTTTCAAAACAACTTATAGTTATGGACAGATTTTGCTGAAACTTTTAGAGCAGGTGTGTATTATGACTGGCAACAAATGATTATATTTGGTGATGATCCGGATCACCAGCTGGATCCAGGAATTTTGGGAACGTTTCTGTGAATACTGGTATTAATTTAAGGTGGAAGTGACAATATATCAGTGACAATACATCAGAGGTTAAATCTACTTGGTGGAGGTCTGCGCTCTCAGCGTGCCTTTCAACTTATTTTTTTAGGATTGTGGGGTTTTTTTCCCTCATGTTTTTAGGTTTTTATTAACTGTAGGGTTTTCAAAGGTATCAATAATCATAAGCTGTATCTGGATACAAAACAAAGCGGGCATAGTATCAATACTAAATAAAACTGTTGTTTGCATATATTTTGCTATTGTTAATTTTTAGATTTCTAGATTATATGAACATTAAAAGAAAAAATATGTCAAATTGTGTTATATCTGTGTTATTTATTTTACATTTGTTTGCACATTTTTTTTCCTAATAGAATCTGTGATTCTATTGAGAAAGCATATTCCATGTTAAGATTAAATGAAGGGTAATTTTTCGTGTTGATATATGCTTTTTGAATTTAAAAATTTTAGTATAGTGACAACTCTAAATAACTTTGTAAAAGTAATCAAAAGAAAGGAACAATTGTTTGAATAAACTATATTTATTCTAAATGAATAAAAAACTGATTGTGAAAAAAAGCTTCTTAATCCTGAGCAAAATTCAAGCCTGAAAAATCTGCCAGTCACCACTAGTAGGCGCACTTGAGCTACAGAACAAAAAAAAAAAGAATTCAGCAGTTAAATGTCCCAACATTCTTGATCTCTGTGCTATGGTTAGGCTATTTCCTACAAATGAATATTAAAAATGATTATTTTGTCTAATTTAACTTCATGCAAACATTTTATTTTATTTCTATGTAAAAAAAAAAATTTTATACTTTACTCATGGAACAAATATCTTTACCGTAGCTTATTTGACATACCTCAAGCAGATTTGGCAGAAATAGGCATTATCAAATAAAACCTTTTCTTTGTAAATCTATCATTTTAATCAGTCAAAATATTGTTTGTTTATGAAAACACTTTTTATAACAACTGTGGTTGTTTCCTGAGTGAGTTGCCCTTTATTGGGGATTATTCAGCATCAAACTGCAGTAGCTTTAAAAACAACTTGCATCCTCCTGGTTGTTCTCACGAATAATGTGCAGTCCCAGTATCAGCTCCTACATAAATCAAAAAGCTGATCAATATTATACCACATGAATATATATCACTTTTATGAGACATCCGCCTTGAAATCCAGTGGAACGGTCAACTGTGATGCAGCTGCTCCGTCTGCAGCGTCACATCGATGGACGTTCATCACATGACAGCCTGCATGCTCCTTAGCGTCACACATCGTAAGCTTGCGTGGGGTGACATGAGACCCTGACGTTGGTACGGGTGCTCCCCTGTGACATATTTCTGAGGCCTAACAATAAGCAGCGTAAGCGATGTGGGCTAAATGGCTCACATTACCAACTCTTCCCTATGAGGCTTGCAGCAGACTTTCAGATTGAGAAAAGCAGGAGACTTTAAATCAAGATTTGAATATAACAAATGTTAGGCTGCTTTCTCCGGCAATATCTCCAGCTACTATAAAGCTTTAATGTTCTTTATATACAAACAAGAACAGGTTAACTCATGAGTTCCTGATTATTTCCCCTTTAACACCCTCGCTTGACATTTAGTTGGCGTTCAGCAGGCCTCTTTGGTGTGTCCAGCTTCCGCTGTGCAGCCGTCTTTTTTTAGCCACGCTGCTGAGGCACATTCCACAGGAGCAGATAACAGCTCTCATCTGTCTAGGCAATAGAGGACAGCTAGGCACCAGCCAGGAAGTGAGACATGGATGCATTGCTGCAAAGGACTCATCCTGATCCTCCTAAGCAAACAAATATCTGTTTTAACTGGAAAAAGACCAAAGAAAGGATGAATTCTGACACAACCGACTATGCAGCAAGACAAACAAAGCTTTAAAAATGAATTCCTAGTGAAGCCATTATAAAAAAAATATATTTGTAAGGGAATATTACCACCAAATATTTCTAATATATTTTAATAATCCAAAAGTAGAAATAGCACTTAATTATCAAAAAAAAAGAAAAAAAAAAAAAGAAAAGAAAAGCCTTCCTATCTGTGGATTAAAGTACTAGCATATTTAAAGGTTTATGCATTTCATACAACCTGGTCTGCTCCCAGGCTGCATTAACACGCTTTAAAGCAACGATGTGTTAGAGTAACACCTATAAAAGTGGACCCCCCCCCCAGACACACACACACACACACACACACACACACACACACACACACAAACACACACACACACACACAAACACACACACACACAGTCCTGACTCTTGCAGAAATATGACTTCAGTCCAGTACAGAGGAAATTAAAGCTCTAGTTTTACATTAGCCATCCAGTAAACAAAGTTCTGCTTCTGTGAATCTGAGACGTCTATAAGCATAATTTTTTATGCTCTGCTAAAATGTGGCTCATTTACTAATAGTTCTAATCCATTTCTCAGCTTCAATAATTCATCAGATTCCCCAAAATAGGGTCAACATCCACAGCAACCACTCACACATAAAGCGTCATGATCAGGGGTCTGAGCCACAGGTAGCTTTTTGGAACCTCTATGATGGCCTAAAATGATATGAAGAAGCAATTTATGCTGTAGAATAATGCATACAGGTCTTAAAAGCTTCATTGGGTTTTAAAATATATATATTTTTATTGAATTATCACAGCAGATTGGCATTAAAATATAAAAAATATGCTTTTATATCTACT